CTTCCTTCCTGTTGCGATCAACCAGGTGGATATTTTCGATTGACAGGCTGACACAGATCGATTGTACAACGCGCGCGATTCTCGTAGTGATAGGAGGAAGCGACGAGAAAAGGAAGAAGAAGGGGAAAGGAATCGGCAACAGACGATGTTGTAACACGCGAAGGAAACAAGCAGAAAGTGAAAAAGGGTAAAATAGCGCGGACAGCCCCACTCGAAACATCGCGAACGGTTCGATCGATCATCCTCGAAGCGCGGTTAATCGACGGTAATTCGAACGGGGGGAAATAAGAAGGAGCAACGAAAGAAAAGAAAAGAGAAAAGAGGGACGAAATGGGAAAAGACGGTGAAAGAAAGGAAAAGGGAATATCGGAGAAATCGAATTCTCCGGAGCGATTTATACGAGTATTACTACGTTATTAGCTACGTATTAATCGTTTATTATTGTTGTTATTATTACGGATGATTATTATGATTATTACGGATTATTATTGATTATTAATGATGAATAACTGTAGCGTTTAAACGGTTTTAAAAAACTCTCAGACACTTTATTAAGATCTTTACGAAAATATTACCTAGCGGGCTGTCGCCGTCTAACTGTTACGTAAAATGACCAAAAAATTATTAAGTAACGTACTACCTATTAATCTATATAGGGTGATCTAGCGACCACGAGCTAAGGGGAAACAGTCTTTTTTAATGAGCTCTAATCTATCTATCTATCTCTATCCCCATATTTCTCTAATTCTCCTGTTAAATTGTCCATTATAAGGAGGCACACAAGACGCAGCAAAATGATAATTCAAATTGACGTTGTTACCAATTTTTCGGACTGTTACTGTCATTATTTACGAGTCATTTCGTGTAATCGTTCTCTTCGTCGTTATTCATTTTATCACGGTCATTTCAACTGGCCCGCGCGCCTCTGTCTGACACATGGCCGACTTATACTACTAGAAATAGTATTACTGTATTTATTTCACGATAATCGAGGAACGAAGTGTAGGAAACTAATTTTATTCGATCCGAAGGATCGTCGTTGATCTATATCAGGCTCTAATTATGGAAAATTGTTAACGAATGGTGTATCGAAATGGATTCGTACTGTCGCTCAATCGCTTACAACGAATCGATTCTATGAATTAGCGTTATGATAACTTTCTAACTTTCACAATCACTTCATATCGCCTTCATTTTAACAGTATCTTCCAAATTATCAAATAAAACCTCGTTTACTTTTAATTTTTAAATAAAATACGAAATGAAATTAAATTAAATTAATTTATTAATTTAAATTAAATACTAATTAAATTAAACGAATTCGTTTAGAATTGGCAAATTTTTACTCGTTTTCTGAAATGTCTGATTTTATCGATTGTATTAATTCGAAAAATATTTTCCCACGCACCGTGTGTCCGACATTCTCACGAATGTCCGCGAACCGTTTCCTTTGACAATGGATATTCTAATCAAGTCGGTGTAACAGCCGTTTTTGTTCGCGATATATTACACGATCGCGGCGGCGTGAATTCGACAGGAGTGTCGTTGACGTTGCAATTGTACAGACTGCTTATGTAAGTTCACGGAGTGTTTCGTTCGCAGACAATCTGCAGGAAACGAGGACGCCGCTGAAACAAAGCATCGAAGCGATCTCGGTTTCGCGATAGCTGTAAATTCAATCGGATCGGAAACACGTGAAGCTACCTTCCGGAATTCAACGGCGGCACGCGGAACAACGTGGTGCAATGCGCGTGAATTTTCTCTGTGCAAAAATGCGGATGAAATATTTACAGTGCATTTCAATCGTATCCAAACAGATATAATTAAACGCTGAAATTTATTTCAAAAACATTCTGACGTTTTAAAGTATATTCATTCGAATTCTTCGAAATCTGTGATTTTAAAATACGTTAATTTGAAATCTTCAAGTTTTAAACGTATCAATTTGAAGTCTTCGCAACCTTTAATTTTTTAAAATATTAATTTGAAATCTTAAAAATATCTTAATTTGGAATCTTCGAAATTTTTAATTTTCAAACATGTTAGTTTGAAATCTTTAATTTTTAGATATATTAATGTCATATCTTGAAAATCTTCGAAATGTTTAATTTGAAAATGCATAAATACCAAACTATTCTCTCACAGCGCGCATTTTTCATGTCACGAAGTAAAAATGTTGTTCATTCAATCCTTCATCCAGTCATTCTTTCCATGAAAAGGGGAACACGTGAAAGGATATCCTGTGTCGCTTTTACGCTGATATTCCGCTACTCCCGATGACGCGTCTCTCTCCAAAGTAGGACTCTCTTAAACCCACAGGGTGTCGCGTTAGTACTTGTACAATATTGGACGATGGTTGACGGTGACGAAGCATGTGATGCTTGCTCAACTGCGAACAAAAAAAAAATAAAAAAAAAAATTGTAAATCCTTGGGTCGTTCATTTCCCAAAATACTCGGTGTGTCCATCGAATCATAGCGGAGCTGAGAGAAATTTGTATTCCTTGCTAATTTTCTATCGTGAACACTGTTTCACAGTACCGTTGTAAAACTGCGATGAATAGCGATTGTAAAGAAAAAAAAACACAAAAAAAAACAAAAAAAAACGAAGAAAAAAACCAAGAAAAAAAAGAAAAAGCGAAAGACGTGAGTAAAAAATCGAAGAAGCTAGATAGTGACTTTTTAGTGGAGAATAAACTTGCGACGATAAACTTGAAATGGGCCAGCGAGTTTGTAGCCAAATGTATAATAATATCGTTTATTCGCGTGGACGAGAACCGATTTAACAGTTACAAGATAAACCAAAAATCGCACCGCCTGTTACTTCGAACAAAAGCAAAAGAACAAACGAGAAAAAAAAAAAGAGAAATCTAGGCTTTCGTTTCGAGTTTGTTTTTCCACGTTCGATTTCCCATTGTGTTTCATGGGATTCTTTGTACCTAGTACGATGACTGAGTAAACTTTAGAGGCTTTACCATTGGAAAATGGACGATTCACTTTTAGAATGTACACCGTGGTGAATGAAACGAGATCGATTGAACGAGAGAGTAAAAAAAAAAGGTACCTCTGTATTCCATAGGCGTGAAGCGTGCAATGATGCAGAGTAATTTCAATGAAGAATTGCGTCGGTGATTCCGAGGGTCAACGAAGGGAATTCCCGCAGAATTTGTTTTTCTGAAAAATCGAACGTTAAATCTGAACCTAATTTCCCAGTGATCTGTAAAATGTATATACACGATAGTGTTCGAATACAAAAGAATACAATTTTTTGCAACTTGATGATTGTTTGTAAAATTTAACAGTATTTAATTACTGGCTTTTGTTATAAATTTATAATTCTACAAAGATAAGAGTTTCATTCGTTCCTCTGATCACCGACTCAATGAACACGGACGATAGCGTTCGTCCCATGGAGGAAGATCGTCATCAGTCGAGCAAAACTAAAAAAAGGGGGAAGAAATTTATCATTTTATCAAACCGAGGGTAATTCGCGATGTAATCGTGAATCTTGCAAATGTGAGAACGAACGAACGCTATCGTCGCGTGACGGATAAATTTAAAAAAAAAAACAAAAAAAACAAAAAGAAGAAGATAACAATTCCCACGCAACGAATCTTGAAAGTAGTCAATATCTAATCAATTCCGAAGATACCGTAGTGGTAGACGATTTAAGAAAACGAGAAAAAAAAACGAAAAAAAAATGATGAAAAAAGAGAAACCAGTGTAAACGAGTAATGCCAATAACACGTTGAATTAAAAAGAAAAAAAAATGGGAGAGAAAGGATGGAAACGAAGAAGAGAGAAAAAAACGATGTTCAACCGAATGACGAGGAATCTTCCATTAGATTGAATATCATTGTGGAGCATCCATTGTAAAAGCAGAAAAAAGAAAAAAAATACTTTCAAACCGATGCTGTTATTCCGAAACATACGAGTGGTGATTAAGACGATGCGAGGTGTATATATATATACGTATTATTATATAATTAAACATAGCGATGAGAAGACAAACAGACAAAAAAAATGTAGCACATATTTTTAAAGAGAATAAACGAGAAAAAACAGAACAAAAACCGTGTTTGAGAAGCGAAACGTCGAGCGGATACGCGCGCGCGCGGTGCTAGCCACGGCACTAATAAGTTAATAATACAGAGAGAGAAAAAAAAGAATAAAAAAAACCCGATGAATTTCGATCATCCTTGTTAATCATAGGCGAATTAATTAATATCAAGCGAAGCACCAGTCGGTAAATCTCTATTCGTAGCGTGTATCTCCGAGGAACGCTGCTAAGGAAAAAAAAAAAAAAAAGAAACGATCTTCGATCCTTTACGAAGGGATAGGGGTATAATAACTAACGATGTTTATGAACCAATGCATTTTCATGCCGAAAAACAAATAAAATTTGCAAGTCGGATCTGTACGTCTTTTACTTCGATACCCCCTATGTACCTTTCCTCCAAAGAACAAAAGAGGTTAAGACTGACTCACGTAACAATGAAGAATAGTATTCCAATATGTACATATATTTAGATCAATAAACAATTTACCAAAATAGACGTGATCGTACTAGCGTACGCAGTTCGTAGGATGGTTTTAACAGAATATTCAATGTCACGTGTTTATTTTCAATGACGAGATAAAAATGCGATATTCCTTCGATCAATTCTCGATTATATCATTCGTATGACGTATATACAACTACACATTCAAAATTCAGGACATCCATAGGATTCGAGGGTTAGCGATACTTTGCGCGTACAAGTGATGCACTTACGCATTCTTCTTTCTATACATTACTATACGGAATCGTTCAGAAGTAGGAAGAGCTATCGCGTAAACAAAAATATAGATCTTTCCTTATCAAAGAAATACTACGAGACGCGAGCATACACAAGTACAGTTACACGGATTTCATACAGACTTTGTACAAGTTGTTAACAATACACTTCTTTCACACGATAGAATCAAAAACATAAAGCGAAAGAATTGTTTTCGATTGATGTCAGTCAGAGGTTATGTTCTCCAAGTGAGAAGTTTGTGGCGCTTCTTTGTTCGTGACTCCTTGCTCCACTATGCGTGTCGACTTGCTGTTGTCCGTTTTATTATTGACAGCGTCTGCACCTTTCGACCAAGAACAACTTCTTCTGCCAGGAGACTTTGGCATAGACCAACTACTACTACAGGATCTTCTTTTAGGCGACGTGGTGCGAGATTTAGCTCTGGTAATCTTCACCTTAGACGCTGATCTCTCCCTCCTACGCCTGTAGCGATGTTTACTGTTGCTCCAAGACTTGGATCGACTCTTCGAACGAGATTTCTTCTTTGATCTGGATCGACGCGATCGAGATCTCACTCTTGTAGGGCTTTTCGATCTCGATTTCGATCTTCCTCGTCGTCTTCTCGATCGAGATCTGCTTTTGCCCCTGCTTCGCCTTCTGCTTCGCGATCTCGAACTGGCCTTCAATTTCGATCTCGATTGGGACTTCGATCTTGACCTCGATCTCGAACCAGACCTGGACCTCGATCTCGATCTTGACCTCGATCGCGACCTCGACCTCGACCTCGATCTGGATCTCGATCTAGACCTCGATCTTGATCTAGATCTTGACCTAGATCCGCTGAACGACCCCTTACGACTACGTGACCGCGAGCTTCTGTAGTCGAAAGAATGATAATCCTGGCCCACTAGATGAGCAAAGTACTTGTAGTACTGCTCGTTATACAAATGAGGATTAAATGTGTGCAGCGCGCGAGGATTTCCAGCGTTACGCCACGAAAATCCTCTGCCCCTTCCACGTAGAAAACGACTGCCTCTAGGCATACCTCTTGGTAAACTCGGATAAATCATGGGCAGTGTCGCTTCGTAATACCACGGTTGTGGAAATCGTGGATAAAGTGTTGGATAAGGAAGAGATTCCAAAGGTGAGGGTGCTGAAAGATGAAATACAAGTAATAAAATATGTGTAGCTATGTATCTTGGTACTCCTTGTTACATGTACTCACCTGTAGATGATGATGGATATGTGACGTTTTGTTTGAGAACACTTTTTAATTTTTTAGTTTGTTCTTCCCCGCCTGACTCCTCGCTCAGGCTTGCAGAATTTTCGGAGTCCTTTTCCTTTTTACGTTTCTTCTATAAAAATATAATTATTTTTTGTAATTTAAAGAGGAATATATGGAAATATAAAAAATAGATATAACACCTTTTTCTTTTTCTCTTTTTTGGACTTTTCCTTTTTCTTTTTTGCTTTCTTTCCTTTCTTGTCTTTCTTTTCATCCTTTGAATCTTCCTCTGAGCTTAATATTTCGACAGTACCGTCTACTTTATTGTTTTTCCTTTCTTCTTTCTTGGAATCCGTGTTTGACATATCGTCTATTTTAATTTCATTGTTCTCCACTTTTATCTGGAAATAGAAAATGGTATTTCAATAGATTTTATTGGTACGGGAAAATGGCGAAAGCTTTAGTAAATTGTACCTTTATCCGATCGAATAGCTCGTCTAAAAGACGAATACTTTCGAGCTGTCTCTGTGCTTTTATTAATTTCTGCCCTTCTCTAGCAATTTTCATGGACACTTTATCTTCTTCCTTCTTGCGAAATATAGTCAAAGCTTTACGTTTACGTTTTTCTTCCCGCTTTTTCCGTCTACTTTCTTTAGCTACTGCATCGGCTTCTTCTTTTTTTCTACAGGAAGGAAAATGTGTAAGATCTTGGATGCATCTGACGTTACGATTACAACTACGAAGTTTACTGCTAATTACTTCTGTTCTTCGCGACGTTTCTCTTCAGCTTCTTCTTTTCTGCGAAGTCGTTCTGCCGCTAACGTATCCTGTGCTATAAGGCGTTTTCTTTCGAATTCTCTATGTGCAACAGAACTATCACTCATGTGTTTTGTTTTATCAAAATTGATCTACGTAAAATAATTGAAATAAAAGCAATATCCTTCATTTATAATTCATACAATTGATGCACAAAACTTCGTACAATAAACGCACCTTAATCGCGGCCGTGAATGCATTTTCTCCGTCTTTTTTAAGGAGTTTCATGCCACGCAATGCATCCATAGCTCTAACAAAATCCATATATTCAACATACTGAATATATGCATCAAAAAATATTCCATCTTCATAACTAAATTTATTTATATTTGTGCCAAGACGCATTCTAGATCTGTAAGGATCAGCAGCAGGTACATCAATTCTTCTGAGTGTTCCCCATTTTTTGAAGATTTTACTGATCAAGGATTCACTAGGCATAGTTGCACCATCTTCGGTGAACCATTTAACAGGCAAGCCTGTTACATGTATAGTGTCAGGCCTTTCCCCAGGCTTCAATTCATTCATGTGTTTTGCATCTCTGAAGTAAGAATCCCAACTATGCCTTGTGGGAAAATCATCCTTTGCCTCTGCTGCGCGGACTTTTAATACATTGGGAAATCCAGACAGATTCAACCGCTGGGAGTCCAGTCTTGCAAGCACACGCTGCAGTCTGCATCTGTCTTGCAAGTCTCCTTCCAATCTGATAAATTCCAATGTACTCTTGGCTACCTTCAGAGATGCAAACTCGTCCGGTAGTATAAGGGCACGAATCTTCTCCATTACTTCCCATGTTGATATTGTTTTGCCTGTTTATATCGCAGTTAATTTTCTGTAAAAACCTATTATGCTAAAAATATTGGGTGTAATTATAGATTTGCACAGAATTTAAAAGAATAATGTTGCTTCCTGTTATAAAAATCAATATCATTAATCAATGTATGTTAAATATATCTTATAAACCTGGAAGAATCATGAGATTTACATATGAGAATAAACCACAAATAACACGAATGATGATTACTTATATACGCATCAAAAATCATTTGATAAATGTTTAAGCAATAGATCTAATAAAATGATAACACAAGTAGTGAAATATAGTGGAAATGTAAATGTAAATATAATCTTTCTCAACAAATAAAACTGCAGATGAAGGTAAAGTAGATATCTATGACCATTTTACCTGGTACTTTCAGCTGAGGAAGATTTACTGAAACATTTATTTTTGCAACCGGTTTTAAGTAAAGCGCGCGTGGTGTATACAGGGACACGATATCGCTGAGATCCCTACAGCTTCGAAATTGGTTAACAACCTCACTACTGGAATTTTCACCTACCTTCTTACCATTGCTCATCATTAATCTAATGTACACGCTATATAGCAGAATAAGTGATGCGAAGGATCGCGACAAGAAAAAAAAATTACAAATTAGCGTTAAATATCTATCTTACGACACAGTAAACCCAGTAAGATGAAACCCGTTCAGTAGAGAGGTTGTGTATCCATTCGAAACGATTAGTAATCTTCCGACGGAGACCGAGATTCGCCTTCTTCACTTCACCGTTTTAATATCGTTTCGTTCACAGTGACTCGCTACACTCTCGCGGATTTACTTTCCGTTCACCGATTAAACTACGTCAACGAGGGCGGAAGCATATTATAGCTTTCACGTTCTGTCAAACTTCGTCGATCGAACACTGTAAATAAGAGAACTCCAGC